GGGGCGTAACATTTCCGTCACACGCTTGAGGTATTTAGCCAATCACAACACACTGGATAGCTGGCCAATCAGCGTACACCTCGCTTTTCAGAATGATGAGCTTTGTAAAAATCGACGCGTTTCAGAAAGGCGGGGCATAGAGGAGCAACAATAATGTACATTATGTAGAAAATAATGTGTTTTTTTTTTACCTTAAACTGCATAAACACATTGCATTACATCAAATACACAACATAATGTTCTTTTTAGCAACTTCATATGACCCCTTTAATTGTCAAATTAAGCAGAAAAAATTCCAGTAACTAAACACCGCCTACGTAATAACTGAGCTGGGCTGACTGGAGTTTGTTTGAAGACAGTATGGGTGGTACACAGACCTCCCCTCTAATTCACATTCCTTCCATCCGGAGAAGATGAATTAGGAAGAAAACAAGAAAAGAACGTCAAGCCCCCGACCAGGATGAAAGCTCTCCCACTTAAGAGAATATTAGGAGAGTAAACTACTTCAGCAGTGGGAGACAAAATATCAAATTAGCCTCATTCAGCATCAAACAGAATAACTGAAAGTAAATGACTACTTTTTTTTACAAGATGTTTTCACCTGCAAAAATATATAAATTCCACACTCATGTACATCATATATATTATATTATATTTATTATATACAAAAAATAAATGAATAATAAAACAACTTAATATAATATCAGACTTTTTTGCAAAACCTGCTTGTCAATAAATTCTAGAAATATACAGTTATCGCACTGTCACTTACTTTGCCCCACTTCAGAACTTAGATCATCATATATGTTACATATTATATTATATGTAACAACTAAATATCCAAACGGCCCTTGCAAACCTCTAATCTTAGGGACAGAGGGAGGATGAGAGGAACATTCAGTAGATCAATGCAACACTAAGGCTGCTGGACAATCTCCCCAGATTTATGATCTCTATGGCAGACAGTTGAATACAGTCCATCTGCAACTCTCACAATGAACAATATTTTACAGCATCTGCCAGCTGTAGCTCATATATATGCTCTTTTTGTCTCTTACTGGCACCCTTAATTAGGCCGCCCAATCACTTTGCTTCATAAAGGCCGTACTGCCATAGAGACAAGAATCAACTTCTCTTGGCACACAGGGAATAGCAGGCAAAGCAGTGATAACATTTTTAGGGTCTGGGCAGATTTATAATTTGACCCTCCTCTGCCATTCAGGTTTGATCATGAGGATTAGAGATATACCTGCTGTATGATAAGAAACAAACGACTTAATATTTACAATGGCAAATTCAATTCACCACCCCCAGGCAATAAAGTCAAACCCAACAGGGTAAGGCGATGTGCACCTTCATCTTGGCTGTAGATTAGCTGGCTGCTTATTACGGTTCATCTGTACTAATAAGCAGCAATAAACAGAGGCCTTTTTTGGGTTATAAATTAGCACCAGTCAGTGGAGCTGTTACTGTCCCACTGATAAGCTTTATATCTTCTGACTTTTGTTTGCCTCTGTCTCTCTCTGTGAATGAGGTGATCCATGTAATTTCCAACATCAATGAAAACCAGACATCTTACAGCGGTCTCTGGCACAGAGAGAATACACAACAAATAGCTTAAATGATAAAACTGTCATTCTGCCTGTGAATCACTGAATCACCCCAGATAAACTGGCAGGATGGTCCAAATAACCAATTGGAACCAGAATTCCAAACACTGACAGCTCTGTTTCCTGGGAAAACCCTCCAAAGCAGAATGGCACTCCTGTATTACAATGGAACACGTAACTTAAGACCATCTTCTTTATTAAAACAACAATTGCTACAGAGCTCAGATGTATTTCCACCTGTTTCTACACATTCGCTGATCACACGTCTAACAGAAAGGGCACTAGATCAGATTAGCACATAACTTCAACACATGTTCAACTTTGAGGTAATTGATTGCAAGAACGTGAAACTCGCTTTGTCAGGCTTATAATACTAACGGTTTCTGCTGAGAGTCTGCTGATGATTGAGTGGTATTGATACAATATATGATCCTAAACTAAACCTAAACATACCGCCATACTGAAAACCTGATGTTTGCCACCATCACTGAAGATTTTTATCCTGTGTAATATAGATAGACAGACAGAGAGAGAAACAGATAGATAGACAGATAGATAAATAGACAGACAGTTGTTCATACAAAAATCTTACTGGATTACTATATTTTAAAATGAACTGTAAATGAATTTAGAAATTTAAAACTGGTATTCCTGGTATTTTACTGGCACACTAAAGAAAACGATGCAAAAAATACTTTGCAAAGCATCTAATGTGCCTACAACCTTTGTACAGTACTGTATATATAATCACACACACACACACACACACACACATACATATATACATATTTCACTGAATATAGTCATATGCACTGACGTATATATACATATGTAAATATGTACATATATACATATACTCACACAGAAGGGACACTCTATATATATATATAAACACACATTTTTTTGAAAGGACAGTATGGCCCAATATTCAACTGCATGCGTACACATATACAGTACACACTCACATACACAACCAAGTATAATTTTGTGTATTGAGGTGTACGGATATGCGCTCTATCCACGCATTCAAAAAGGAGCATGTCGGTAACCCACTTATAGATGAGGTGAAAACTTTTCTAAAAGAACCTTGATGTAGGGCTCTTTTTCCCTACAATATCTCTTCTACCTGTCAAAGTCAGTCATTATTTTTCCTATTGACATTCGTTTCTGATATAGCGTGGCTCATCGGACCCCTCTGTCGTGTCTTTCATGAATATAGTCATATGCACTGACGTATATATACATATGTAAATATGTACATATATACATATACTCACACAGAAGGGACACTCTATACTGAACCCAAAATTCCTTACTATTTCCATTCCATCCCTAGCCAATGTCTAACCCATTGACAAAAAAAAAACGTCTTCCACCTCTTTTCCTTTAGCATCCACAAAATTCTGTCAAGAGACTTTGGGAATAGCATTAATACATAAACTTATTGTAGAAACCCAGGTACAGCTCTGTAAACAGCAAAAAGCAAGTCACTTACATTCTGAGTCTGACCATGCTGTATGAACTGGCAAATTTCAACAAGTACACTGTCTGAGAAAGTTTATGCCAAGCACACACTGGGCCCAGACAGCAGCAGGCATTTACCTACTGTTGCTCTTTCTTTCTCATCAGCTCCTAACAATTTTTTTTTTTAAATGCCTCCCTAAGGAAAATAAACATGATTCGGCCCAGTGAATACATCTGTCCTTCGAAAAGAATATAAAAGATCTAACTGTTTAAACAGCTGTGAGGATACTCTGTCCTTTTGAACATTTCTGAGAGACAAGCACTGAAATAACACAGTTCTTAGAGTCACGGCCAAAGGGTCAGATATTAGACAAATGACAGATCTCTTTCTAATGACAACAGCATGTGTGAGAGGTTGTGTACCGGTTATCAGGCCACATGAATCTAAACTCTGATTTACATTTCATGAACCTAAATTATTCTCAAGCATACTGCAACACCCATACTTACTAATTATGTTACTAATTATGTTAAAGATCATTTTTTTAAACACACAAACTCTTTTTGAATCTTAAAGAAAAATAATATAATAAATCATATATATTTTATTATATATATATATATATATATATATATATATATATATA